TAACCTTGACAAGCTGTTTCAATCGAATGGCATTTGCAACAGTTTGTCAGACATTTGCATATCGGATAACAGTTTGCGTGATTGGCTCGCTCGATTGGTCGATAAGGCAACAGTGCAGTGGTTGCGCCTGTTGTTGTTGTAGATGTATTTGCTGTTGTTGTTATTGTTGTTATCGTAAGCAGCTCAAGTGCACCCGCTGACAACAATCCCATAAAATCGATAAGTCTTTTGCCAGCCACTCTCGCTCAATGCTGTTGGGCATGTCGACAGCAGCAGCAGCAGCAGCAGCAGCAGCAGCAGCAGCAGCAGCAGCAGCAGCAGCAGCAGCAGCAGCAGCAGCAGCAGCAGCAGCAGCAGCAGCAGCAGCAGCAGCAGCAGCAACAGCAGCAGCAGCAACAGCAGCACAATGCTCAGCATTCTTCAACCTCATTGATGCGTGGCAAGCAACAAACAGCTGTAGAAATTGCGGCAGGAGAAGTCAGATGGGGGCATGCTGGGGCAGGGTGTTGAGCGCATTAAGCGTGTCATTTTTAGCAGCAGTTGCTGTTGCACAATCGCCATTGATTTGATTTAAGTTGCCGAGTTTGTTAGCGCGTCAAGTTTGTGCGGGTTACGCGTTCACTCGCACTTACAATAACAACATCAGCAACAGCAACATCACTAACAACAACAACAACCACAACAACAAAAATTGCACAGCTCACTCGCCCTATATGGGCCAACCAGAGATTGCGAAGGGGGCATGGGAAATAGTTTCCGAAAATCAATCATGCGTAGTTGCTGGCGCAGTCGAGGGGCGACTTCGAGCTGCAGTTCATGTGGTGGGGAGGAGGTGGGGAGGTTGGACAGGGAGAGAGCAGACGAAGGTAAAATGCATAATCTTGTTGTCGACGCTAGCAAGTTCACTGACTGAAGCTAATTGAGCAGGAGAAAGGTAGCGGAAAGCAATTTGTCATTTGATTGAAAGTGAGTTTGATTCATACAATAGGGGAGGTGGGCGGTCGATAATGAGGGCAGCTGATGATGACGACAGCAGTGCCCAGCTAATCGGAACAGTTTACGGCCAAATGATTTCATGTACCAGCCACTGACTTGGCTGATCAGCATGAGGCTACTCGATTAATTAACACAGCTAAGATATTCAAGTGAAGTGCTGCGCTATCTCTCTCTCTCTCTGTCTCTCTCTCTCTGTCTGTGGAGAGCATTTCTTATCGACGCATGAGTGGGGGCTCTTTCGCACGTTCCACATGCATTGAACTCGCCTGTGCCTAGCTAGACCCCTTTTATATTGTTTTCTCTCTTTTGTCTGATTAATAAAAACACAGAGCGCAAATTGGAAGGGAAATTGCTGTCACTCAATCAGCCGGTGGCGACGTGTTCGTTCTCTCTTTCTCTCCCTCTCTCTCTCTCTCACTCTTTCTCTTTCTCTCTCTGTTGCTGTTGCTGTTGCTGTCGTCGGCAATTGCATTAAAGTAAGGCTGTTGCTAGCAGCGTTCCCGTCGCTCCATCATTAATACACCGCATCAGTTTAATTTAATGCAACGCAGCAATTTTATCAAAACACCAACAACAACAGCAATGTTATCGACAATAACATGGGGCAGAAGCAATTGCCATTAACGCGTCTCAAACGTCGCTCTTCCCCTCTGTCCCACTCGAACTTTTCAGTTGCAGGCGCTGGCATTGCAGCTTGCAGTCGTTCGGTTGTTGCTGTCGCTTATCGAGCGTTTGCCGCCGTTGTTGTCATTCGATAAATGTACGTAGTATCGCCGGCTCCTGCAGTCTATAGAGAATCGTCTCAGGTCACGTTGCCGTCGGCGTCTGCACTCGACTCCGACATGTCAGAGGGGCGCCGATGCCTGCAATTGATTTGATTGTTGCAGGCATTGCGCATATCTCAGATACATATCTGTTCAATGCCTCGCCCAGCCCAGTTATGTCTGGATCTAGCTGTCAAATCGCCTCGCCGTGATATGCAGTTTTGATGGGCAACATCGGCAATTGGCACGATATTTGATTTGATTGACATGGCGACATGGAGCTAAGGCTCCTTACTTAACGGTTGGTACGTCTCGGTTCAGCTCGCTTCGATTCGAGTCGGTGTGGTGCTGTGGCCCATTTGCAATCTGATGGCACCTTTGTCGTGTTATCTGTCAGGTACTGGCCTAATCAGATATTTTTGCATGCGATTCGCTGCCAAAATTCTATTAAGGCTGTCGGCTTAGTTATGTCATGTCAGCAGTATGCGGGGTCTATGCAATGTAAGTTATCTCTCTTGCTCTCTCTCTCTCTCTTCTTCTCCCTCTCCATGGGAAAAATGCCAATAAATATGCCTTTAATTTGCACTGGCACGTAGTTGTAGTTGGGCCTGTTATCGTTCCTTGTCGTTGTTGTTGTTGTTATTGCTGTTTGTACTGTGTGTTGGCAACAATATTGCTATCGGAGTAGCTGCAAGCAACAAGCTTCGTTAAATTTGACCTGGCTATCAGCAGCRACAACAACAAACAGAGCTACGCTAAGCCTGCGCGAGCCTGTTGTAGTTATAGTTCAAATCCAGATTGTCTGACACACCGACAGTTCACAAAACTGGCGCAAAAAATATATGTGCTCAGCCAGACAATAGAAAAAAAAAGAAGCAACAAAAACGACGACGACGACGACGGCGTCAACGTTGGCGGCACAAAAAAATGGACTCTGCCGCATTTCCGGCAGCAGTCAACGTGGCGGATGGTCGTGACGCCGTTTCATGCACAAATAATAAAAAAGCAACTACACTATGGGGTCGCGAGCCAGGAGGGGGAGCCGGGAGCCGTGGTCGTCTCTTCATATTTTTGACACTCGTTCCCCCACTTGCTATGGCGCCCAAACAATGGGAGCCTGATGACTTTGTCATGGTACGAAATAGAGTAGCCTAAGCGCAATGTTTCTCTTAAAGCGTATGACACCTTAAGCCGTCGCGGCTCGACGTGGATTTAGCATTGTTTTTTCTATTTGCTCTATTTTGATAATTTCCAACTCTTGCTGCAATTTGTTGTTTAGGGTATCAGCGCGTCCAGTAGTTAAAGTTTGTTTTTAAATTGTCCATTACTTTTTATGATGTTCAATAAAATACCAAAACATTGCCAAAACATTTTGTCTCTCTCTCTCTTTCTCTCTACTGCTCTGTCTTTTATTGTTAAGTTTTCTATCAATTCTTGTTTATAGTTGTTTTTTTAGTGGCGCGTTTGATTGCATTTCGCACAGCAGTCGACTTGTTTTAAGATTTAACAAACATATCTACATACATACATACATACGTACATACATATACATATATGTTGTTGTTTTTGTATATGCATGTGGCTTTTCTAATGAAATTCTCCTCTATATTTGCAGCTGTGCTCAGTTTGCGCCGCTAGCGGAGCGACTGCAGCGATTCCGGCAGCGACAGCAGCGTTACAACAGCGCTGATATTGAAAATACCGACTTATCAGCTGAACAAATAAGCGTTGCCAATTTGCATGGGCAGAGCGACGACAACAACAACGACAATAAGTTTAGTAAAACTGCTGCCGTTCGACGTTCAAGCGCAAGTGGTGCAGTTGATGCCACCGCTAGCTACTCAACAGACGCTTTAGAGGAGGCACCTTGGCAGGGCTTTGAGGTTCAGCCGAGTGACGTTGGCAACGACGAGGCAGCGCCTCGACGACGTGTGCTCATCAAGCGCCGCATTGTGCGCTCGACACGCGTCCGCAACAGTGCTGCTCCGCCATCCCCATCCGCATCCGCATCCGCATCCGCATCCGCATCCGCATCGGCCTCACCGCACAGGTCGGCTGCGGGGCGAAAGCAAAAAGCGGATTGTCAGCTCGGCTGGCTGGCAAGGCTGCGCAGTTTCCGTGGCAGCGGCTCAAACAACAGCAATTTAAAGGGCGCCACAACAACGGCTTTTGCCTCACATCATTTGGATAGCAACAAGAGCCAAGGGAGCAGCGCTCCTACACCCATCATGGCCGTCCTGCGTACTATGAAGCTCAAAGAGCGCCTCGCCATTAGCCTAGGCGCGACGCTCGTGCTGCTCACGCTGCTGCTCATTGTGGATGTGCAAATGGACTTCGGGGTTGCCAACCGCCATCTGCTGCAGCAACAGCATCAAAAGCTACGCTTTGGCAATAGCAACAACGATTACAACGAGGCCGGCACAGCCGGAGCCGGCGGCATGCTGCACGAGTTCAAGCGCAAATTTCTGCAAAAGAGGTAAGCAGCTGAGAGATCGTTTAGTTTTTCTTTAAAGTCGGCTAATTACTGTTATAGAAAACTTGCTGTTGACTAGACGTTAGACGTGAAGCTACTATTCAATTCAATTGATTTAGTAAAGTGAATTATATAAAGATAATTATAGTAAGGGTAGAACTTATAGTAGGGAAGAACTTTTTCTTTTATGAAGATAACTAATGGCTTCTTAGGAAGAAAATATAAGAGTATACAACTGAGCTTTCTTTCCAGGATATCTAGATTATTGATATTTGCATTAGATAATCTGATAATGTTTGCTCAACAATGTAGAAAATTTTAAGCTTAGATTGTTTGCAACTCATCGTTTCAAGACTTGGCTGATTTGTTGCTGCAACTTCGCTTGACTGCAAAAGCAACTTCCGGCTTTTATTCTTGTTATGGGGATTCATAAATATCAGTGAGATTTAATTCAACAAGCCTTTGTCATTTATTCATTTGCTTAGCTGCAGCAAGCAAACACAGGAACATTTTTAAAATGCTGTAAAAATGTTCTTATGAGTATATACATTGATATATACAAATATCTAGCTATGCACTAGGTGAGACCTATGCCAATATGCTCTCATTTTTCTGTTGAAAGTTTATTGGTCCTCAGTTTTTCTTTATCCGAATGCCATTTTTTGCACCATTCTGACAGCAATATTTTCTTCGGAAAATATTATATATTTTGAAGCTAACACTCACGTGTGTTATGAACGCCTATGTCTGTAATTCTTTGCTCATCAAGAATTCTTAAATAGGCACTGCCCTGATTATATTGCAATGTAGTGACTGTCCTGCTGGATCGTTGGCCAACAGCAGGAGTTACTTATGCGGCGGTCATTGCTCCCGTTTAATGATGCACTTCCGCTTACCTTTGCTCGCCATCGCTCGAAACGACTATTGCACATAATTCAATTTTACAAAATGCAACAAAAGTTGCAATAAAGCATGGTTGCCCTGCCATTAAATCATAAATTGCTGCAAGCAGGCAGCGAAAGCTCGCGAGAATTGGAATTCCAGGCAGCGAGCGCTCGGGCCAGGACATGTCTGCTGCTGAAGCCAACAACAAACAGGGCATAACAGCCAGCTAAAGCCGCTTTTTATGCTTGCCGTGCTCCCACACACACAAACACAGATGTACACACACACGCACACGAGCGCCAATCGGCCGTCTTGCAATTGCGCTTTTACGCTGACTTCGACATGCTGCTCCTATTTTACCTATGTGTGTGTGTGTGTGTGTGTGTGCACGGCAGCTTTATGCTGCGGCTGGCGGAAGTCAAGTAATAAAACATAAAAGTGACGCAGCAAAACGTAAGACACGCTGCCAAGACAGGCAGCAAGACACGCTGCCGCCTGGGTAAAAAACTATCGCTAGCAATTCATCCCATAAGCTACCAGGTGGCAGCAGCAGCTCCTTTCCGCCGGCAAGGGAACATAAAACAGCTCTGTTGCTAGTTGGTAAACATTTAATTAATTCATAAATCGTTTGGTGCTGCCAGCCAAATGGCTGCTATAACTACCTGCTGCGAGTTGCCTGAACACCGACTATAATATCAGATTTATATATAAGCACCAAATGTTCATCAGATGCGCATCAAGTGTTGATTACTTTTGTAAAAATCTAGCCATCATCATGGTAATGCTATAGATACTTTTGGTTACCTGCAAATAAATGCAAATGCCATTAATTGACTCAGTTCAAGTCCTTTGACCCACCTGCAGAGCACTGCTGACCGACAATGGCATCACTCCGAGCAGCAGGATTGCGCCTGGCTGCTGGCTCCTGGCCAGCATGAAGAGAACAAATCGTTGTTGACTCGGATTGAGATTGTAGAACGAGATGTTGTACATCTCGTACATGAATTTTTCACTCTAAAAATAGAGAGAAACATCGTGATGTTAAACAGATTGCAGAGCTTTATCCGCCACCCGTTGGCTGACACATACACAGTTCTCGAGCATTGTGCCTAGTATGCAGTAGAGATACATATTGGGCACGAGCACACAGAAATAGCAATATCCTCCGATCCAGTCGCTGGTGAGCAGCGAGAAGACTGTGATGACAATGCATACGGCAGAGGTTGTCACCTGAACAGATACCATAACAGAGAACATGTCATTGCACTGGTCGACGAACCTAGGCGAAGGCACAGTTTAGACATGGAGCACTGGCGAGATGCCTACTCACCTTGTATAGGTCTGATGCCACTTGGCAATGTTGACCAGCTGCGCTGAAGCCTCATAATGCTTCTCAGTACTGTCTTGCTTTTCGCTAAGCACGTTGAGGTGGTCGACCTTGAGCTGTAGGATGTCGGCGTAGACAAAGGATTGCATTAAATATACTATGATAATCATGTCGCCCGTATAGAGACCGAGTCCGCCGAGGATAATGCATACGCAATGCAGGGCCTGCGTGGCCCAGAAACCCCATTCGGTGTTCACGTCAATCCCGGGCAGATGAAAGTGCATGATTAGATACAGTTTGCCCGTTAGTATTGAGGCCAGCACTGCTACAATGATCATGCCCAAGGCGCCAACCATGTAACTGATGCCGACCAGAACTAGAAAGCGCCGCAGCTTGTGGCAACTGCGCAAGAGCGCCATGGAGTATCTGGCATCCTCTTCCTTTTCGAAGTGAGTGTAGTTCTGATTCAGCTGCACGTAGAGCTTGGACACCGTGGGTACCGAGGAGACTCCCATGTATATCTTGGTGCAGGCCTGCACGACGCTGCCGCTCATGGCACTGGCCTGTATCATGAACATCCAATTGCCGTGGAACTCCTTGGCTATCGTTAAAATTGTGAAGATGTAGTACATACTAATCAGCGTCACTACGGTGATGGTAACGGCAGTGAAGTGAAAGTTCGGATCGTAGACATCGAACCCGACGCAGCTCGTTATGAAGCGCACAAAGCGCATTATTTCATTGAAATTATCGCTGGCTCGCGTCGACATTCTGAACTCGATTAGTCTTACGTAGCACCAGTGCTATATATTTATACCCATCTCAATTTGGGAGTTTGGCCAGCTGCAGTTGACACTGTCCGCTGCAGCTTTGGGCATTCTCACGGCTTGTAAATTAGCTTAACTAAACGCGTTACATGTCCTGCTGAAGAGACAGGGGCGAGGCAGCAGATTGCATTGCTCACGTCAAGTGACAGTTTAATGAGCAATCGTTGTCATTAGCTTAATTAAATGACACATCACTCTGCGTGTTAATGGCATGGACAAAGTTGACCCTCTGTTTGTTAGCTACAAATGAGATTTGACAAATGGGTTATAGAACTAATACAACTGTTGGATTTTTTATATTGAAGAAATAAGTCCGATTAAATTTAGTAGATTGAACAGATGTTATTACAGCGGAAAGAAAAAGTTAACTTGTTTGCAATATTTTAATGTAAACAGGTACGGCCAAGCAGTAATAGTTGGTTGGAAAATAATAATTTACTTAATAATTCCCAAATACTGTTCTCGCCTGAAAAAAATTATTAATTCGTAAAATTTTTAATTTAAATCTTATCAAATGTGGGTCAATTTTTTTTTTTTTTAATTCTGAAATGTTAAGCCTTTAGTAATGGAAAAAAAAAAAATTGTCGAAGTGTATTAAAAAATCATAAAAATCCAAATAATTCGACCATTAATTTTTTGTGGCGAATTTTAAACTCATGCTATTCGCTAAAAATTATTGTTAATATTATTAATTATCAGATTTCTACTGTGTATATTTCATAAAAACGTCAAGTATATGTTATGCTATTTCATTTTGTAAAATAATATTAAATGAAAAAGAAAAGAAGACCAAAACTCATATTGTGATGTTTTAACAATATTTTAAAGCCGAGGTAAAACAAAATATATATATTTTTTCATAACTATAGAAAGTGTTTCAAATAAATTTACGTCAACTACTTTGATATGATTCATACTAGAACAACTATAGCTTCATAAAATAAATTTTGAATGATAGCCGATTGCTTCATTCATGACAGATATTCATAGATTTCTGCTGATCCCTGATCCATCAATTCAAGATATTACCGTAGTACTATTAGCTGACCACTTCAAACGAACATTCCTGAGAGCTTAGCCAGCTGCATGTGACACAATTGCACGTTTGATATTTGTATTAAATGGGATTTAATTAGCCGCGTTCCATTACCAAGTTGATAGAGGGCCATGGAGGGTTCGACTGCACCACGCCTGCACACACACGTGACAGTTTAATGAGGAAACTTTGTCATTGGTTTAATTAAGTGCAGGCCACATCGAGCATCGATCCGTCGAACGTATGTATGCTGCTCTGGTGCTTTGTTGCTTTGCTGCATTACATTGTTGATGCTAAATAAAGCCGATGGCCAAGCTGCCACGTGGCCAGTTAGCCGCAAACCTATAAGCTGCTCTAGCCAGTCAAAATCAATGCGGTATGTTGCATAAAGAGTCGAGTGGAGTTTCAGCTCGTGTGCGCTCATCGCCAACTTGTTGGAATTGGCTTGATATAAAGTATGGATGTATGCATACATGCGTGCAACAAAGTAAGCTGATTGCCACATATAATGGCATTATGTGGCATTATTCAGTGTGCCCTGGCATTAAAAGCGTGAAATCTGCTGAGACTCGTTATGAGCCCTTCGGCAGCGACGCGTCGGCAAAGACAGCGCCAGGATCTGTTGCGGCTGTAAAGTTTAAAGCATGCCGGCAACTGTTAATTGAAAAAGTTTCACACTCCAGACGGCGTTGCACATGTGCGCACCTTTTGAGTGACGCCCCGAGGCACATAATCCAGAGCCAGAAGGCAAATGGATTGAGCGGCAGGCGAGCTGCCGAGAAATTGTGGCACACTTAAAAATTTAAACGACAATCCACAGAGTTTTGTGGCTGAGACGAAGCAATTTGCAAGACTTGATTTGCGCCAATACTCAGCTGCAAGAAACCCTTCGTTTAATGATGCGACAGCAACAACATCGAGCGGCTTTGCCATGAGCAGCCCCTACTTGTTGTAGGCATATTTGGAATTTCGTTTTAATGACCAAAGAGAGCAGCACTCAAATTACGGGCGGAGCACACACGAGAAAACTTTTCGAATATTGTGATAACGAGCAAAACTGGCTGACTGCAATCTCAGCTCTCGCTCCAAGGTCAATACGAGCCAAACAACAGCAACTGTGATGAATTCACTAGAAAATCTAATAGACTGAGCTTAGTTTTCTTGAAAGGCAGTTGAGGGAGAGACACAGATGCATATGAGTTTCATGCACGGGAAATTCTGGTCAAGTTGGGCCCAGGACTAAATGTAGCTAAATTGCAGCAAAGCCAGGCAAAGAGGCAGGCAGAGAAGCAGCGCTCAAGTGTCACTTGTGAGTTGCAATTAGCGTACGTTGATTCAGTTCCTTTGTGCAGAGAGACCTATGTATGTATGTTTGCCTTCTTCTGTTGCAGCAACTCTTCTGGCTCCAAGGAGGCCTCCACGCCGGCACAGACGTCGGGCGGCGGCACGACGAGCGGGCAGGAGGGCGTAATCGCTGGGCCCTCGCAGTCAACGCGAAAGCCGAAGCCGCACGATCGGTACCTGGACCTGCAGAAGCTGCTGCTGAGCGATGAGTATATGCACGTCATAGTCGATAATGAGCCAGATGTGACGGTTAACAATCCGACGCTCGGCGAGCTGCTGCACCGTCAAGTCGGGTAAGTGATATTGAGTCGTTAGATGCCATTGTTAATGGCAGACGGCGCGGAAGTTGGCGAAAAATTCAATTTCCCTTGAGCGGAAGACATAATGCTTAGTGTTTTACCTTCTTGCTTACCTTCGCACTTTGCTTTGCATTGGCAGATTACGGTTTCACTTACACAAGGCACGCGTGCCTGCTCACTCTCTCTCTCTGTCTCTCTTCAACTCACTCTCTCTGACTGCTCCACTTGAGAGACATCCACCTGAACCACCCAAACCTCACCGCCCACCAAACTACATAACTTTTCAGCCTGCTTCTGTGGCAGGGCATACGATTGAAGCAGTTACGGTTCCTTTTGGCTTTGGCTGAAATTGAAATGATTTTTATTGAAATTTACGCTCCATTTACGTGACACGTTTACGTTTTAGATATTTGCTCTAACGTTAACGTTGAGCCCCCGCTCTATTTTCTCATAAGTGTTGTTTGATTGTTGTTGCTGTGTGGTTGAGACGTTGTTGTTGTTGCCATTGTTGACAACGATTGCATGCTTGATGCCATTCGTTGATAACGCTGATGAGATTTTAGCGCTACGTAACAGTACTTGTCTCAGCAGTGCGTATACGTAATTTTATATGAGCGCAATCAAATAAAATTGCAATAAAGAAATCAATGCGAATTGCGTACGCACTCGCATTCCTCCGCCAATTTCCTCAGCTCTCATTTAAGGCAGCAGTGGCATTGCCTTTTCTACAAATTCATTTCAATCCAATGACAAGTAATCAGCTTACGTTGCCACGCTCGCACCACCGCCAGCACCACCAAAAAATATGCAACACAGTTTTGGCAGTCTTTATCAAAATTGAATACGTGGCGTATGAGTAATTTCATTTGCTCGAATAGTTGGCACACTCGTACAGTGAGAGAGTGAGCGAGAGAGAGAGAGAGAGAGAGAGAGAGAGAGAGAGAGAAAGAGAGTGTGTGAGAAACCAAGTAGAAAAGTAAGTAAAATAAAAGAAAATTGGAAAAATGCAAAGTGGTTAAAACTTGTCAAGCTGAAAGTATGTTGTTCCTGTCGGTCGGTGGGTCGGTCTATCGGGGTTTCGCTCTGTGGGCGTTGGCATTAGCATAAAATGCTTGATTTTCTAATTTATCGCACATCACCGAAACGGAGCCAAATGTTTTTTTGCGCTGCACGTAGCACAAATGCAAATTTCATTAACAAGCGAAATGGCTTGCAGAAAATGAGCAGAGAAAAAACTGAAAGTGCTCTAGTTAAGAATTGCTCGAAGGGAAGATACTCTGTTAGCATTTGCAATTGGATTAGATATCAGATAATGCATTCTCCTTACATAAATTAAATTTAATATACATCTACATGTCTGGCGCTATTCTTCAATTTGACAGTCGCAATTAGATCTGCAGAAAGGTTCTCCTCTTACAGCCTCCATCAGTGATATCTCATTAAAATGCCGTCTCACTCGCTGGCTCTGGTGGCTGCTTTAGTTGTCTTTGCCGCAACAGAAGCGTG